GAGGGTACCCAGAGTTATGTGGGAAGGAAGACCTTTGTGATCTTGCGTCCTTGTTAATAACTGTGTCTTCATACCCAAGCCATGCCTTAGAGGGTCACTCCTAGAGTCTTAAGTTGAATTATGATGCCATTATTATTATTTTTTTTTCTCAAGGCCTTGATGTTTCAATCTCACCTCCAAAGTCTCTGGTGTTAAGTTGTACTGGGATCTGGCTATGCCACCCATGAAATGCTTAGCCCAGATAGTCCTCCTGGAGTACCACACCAACTCTTCCCATAAGTTAACTGGCCAGCAAACTTGACTGTCTTTCACTTCTTTTCACAATGACCACAAGGACTTCTATAATTTGATTCAACTCAGGGAGACCCCTGTGTACGTTGTGAGTTAATGTCTAGGCCTCTGTAAATCTAATCTCCCAGTGTGCCACCAGGTTTCTTGGATGAGACCTTGTTCCAAGTTGGTATATGGGTCGTTTATAAAGCAGCCTTCTCTAACTCTTCCAGGTGGGATATGGTTTCTTCTACCCACAGGGACCTCTCCTTGTCACCCCTTTTTCCGTACTTCAGAGCTTCAAAGCAACTGAGAGAGAGAAGGTATCGAGGCCTAAGATTTGACCCTACATTCAAGTTAACAAGGTAGCCTGTTCCTGCTTTATAGATGCTACCAGAAGACACAGGCTTCAAGGTCAGAGACAAAGGACTTTACTATAACATAGCAAGCAGCATGAGTATGATGTTGGCACTCATTACCTTTGCCCCCAATTTCCATGGCCGTGACAGAAAATGGCCCATATGTTTACTGAGCAACCACTGAGTTGATTCACAGCTGAAGAACACTGATCTTGGGAAATCTGCTGCTTTTCCATTAAGCCTTGTCTTTGTTCTGAAAGGATACATTTTATCATCCTTTAAAGTTGTTTGCTGCCAATACAACCCTGAGGAATGGCCCAGGTAAGTGCAGTCAAGGCTTTGCATTCTTGCCATACCTAGCAAGAAAATGCGGGAACACATATGTCCTATGGCAGAGTGCTTCTCCCAGCAGAATGTTCGTATACATTTCTTCTAGGCAGCCTTCCCTACATCTCACTCCTGTCTGCAATCTTCCAGGCCAGAAGAGGTGAGCTTTCCTTCTTCTTACCCTATATTACATCCTCCTTTTTTTTTTTTTTAAGATTTTATTTATTTATTTGAGAGAGAGAGAGAATGAGAGAGAGCACATGAGAGGGGGGAGGGTCAGAGGGAGAAACAGACTCCCTGCTGAGCAGGGAGCCCGATGCGGGACTCGATCCAGGGACTCCAGGATCATGACCTGAGCTGAAGGCAGTCGCTTAACCAACTGAGCCACCCAGGCGCCCACATCCTCCTCCTTTATCATCATTGCATTATGCTAAGACATTGTCACAGAAAGGATATTTTCCCTATGCTGTGGAGGAAGTTTTTCAGATGTCCTTCCATATCTAGCTCTTGAAAAATTCACTTGGAGCTGAGTCAATTCAAGTCCTCTGGAAAGCAGACATTAAGATGGGTGAGTTCAGCATTGGGAAGAAATGACAGGACATAAGTATCTCTGCCACACTCCATCATCCAGTTGCCCTGGGAGAGAGCATCGGCTAAAGGCCATCAGCTGACTGCACTACTTACAGCTGATTCTCTCTTAGGCGAGTCGTGAGCAGTGTATTTCCTTGGCTGCCATAGGAGCCAAAGGAATTACACATGTCCTCTCTTTTCATTATGGCTTGTTTTAAAACTTGTCATCAAACCGAAGAACTCAAATACCTGCTTTGTCTGCCTTGGAGCCATAATTGAGTGAGTCTAGCTAAAGGCCTTCCATTTATTTTTAATCTTTTCAAAGAACCAACTCTTAGGTTCATTGATCTTTCTGATTTCCTTTTAAGTCTCTATTTCATTTATTTCTGCTCTACTCTTTGTTGTGTCCTTTCTTCCACGAACTTTGGGCTTCAGTTCTTTCTTTAGTTCCATGGTGGGTAAAATTAGGTGATTTATTTGAGACTTTTGTTTCTTGAGGGGGGGCATTTATGGCTATGAACTTCCCTCTTAGAACTGCTTTGACTGCATCCCACCAATTTTGGTGTGCTGTATTTCCATTTTAATTTGTCTCAAGGTATTTTTTAAATTTCCCTTTTGATTTCTTCTTTGACCCACAAGGAGCACAAGGTTGTTGGTTGTTCAGTAACATGTTGTTTAATCTCCACATATTTGTGAGTTGTTCAGTTTTCTTCATGGAACTATTTTCTAATTACATACCACTGTTTCCTACCGTTGTGGTCAGAAACAATTTTTGCTGTGACTTCAATTCTCTTAAATTTATTAAGACCTGTTTTGTGGCCTAATACATGTTCTATCCTAGAAAATATTCCATGTACTTGAGAAAGATGTGTTTTCTGTTGCTTTTGGGTGGAATGTTCTGTATGTATTTATTACATCCATTTTTTCTAATGTGTCATTTAAGGCCTATGTTTCCTTATTGCTATTCTGGTTGGATGATCTATTCTTTAGTGTAAGTGGGGTATTAAAATCCCCTACTATTATTGTACTACTGTCTATTTCTCCCTGTAGGTCTGTTAGTATTTGCTTTATGTATTTAGGTGCTCCTATGTTGGGTGCATAAATGCTTACAAATGTTTCATCCTCTTGTTGGCTTGGCCTCTTTATCATTATATAACACTCATCTTTGTCTCTTATTACATTCTGTTTTAAAGTCTATTTTGTTTAATACAAGTACAGCTACTCCAGCTATCTTTTGGTTTCCATTTACATGGAATATCTTTTTATATTCCCTCACTTTCAGCCTATGTGCATTCTTATATCTAAAGTGAGTCTCTTATAGGCAGCATATAGACGGATCTTGGTTTGTTTTGTTTTGTTCTTTCCATTCAGTTACTCTGTGTCTTTTGACTGGATCATTTAGTCTGTTTATATTTAATGTAATTATTGATTGGTATGTACCTATTGTCATTTTGTTAATTGTTTACTGGCTGTTTTTGTAGTTCCTCTCTGTTTCTTTCTTTTTCTCTTATTCTTTCCTATGTGGATTGATGCCTTTCTTTAGTGGTATACTTATATTCTTTTCTCCTTATTGTTTGTGTATTTAATATAGGTTTTTTTGTGTGTGTGATTCTAAAGCTCAACATTTTACTCCAAAATTTTATATTTTTGATGTCAAATTTTACTTATACATCAATTATTATAATCATAGTTACTTTTACTACTTTTGTCTTTCAACATTCATAGTAGATTTATACATGATTAATCTTTACCATATATTCACCTCTCCAGTGAGATTGATTCTTCCATATGCTTTCTTGTTACCAGTTAATGCCCGTTCTTTTCAGCTTAAAAAAGTTGCTTTAACATTTCTTGTAAGGCCTTTTTTTTTTTTCTCTTGTGAGGCCATTTTAGTTGTCATGAATTCCTTCACTTTTGCTTGTCTGGAAAACTATCTCCCCTTTAATTCTGAATGATAGCTTTGTTGGGTAGAGTATTCTGGTTGGAAGTTTTGTTTTTTTTTTTTCTTCTTTCAGCACTTTAAATACATCATGCCAGTCCCTTTTGGCTTGCAAGATTTCTGCTGAAAAATCTGCTGATAATCTTATGGAGATTCCCCTGTATGTAACAAGCTGTTTTTCTGTCTCTCTCTCTGTCTCTGTTTCTCTCTCTCTTTAAAACTATGTTCCTTTCTCAATCTCTTCTTATAATCATACCAAAAATTCTCTAGATACAGTTAAGTCCTAGTAATCCGTATAACCAATGTAGAAGAATCATTCAGAACACCATGGCATAAGTTTTTTTTTTATTTGGAAGTTCTGAGTATAGAGGAGCTCAGAAGGAGTGTTCTGTCTCAGAAAAAGAGTGGAAATGCATAGTGCTTTAGCACAAGGTATCAGCTGAAATCAGCTACTATCAGGAATAGTCAGGCAAAAATGGTTCTCAGAAGAGGAAGGGATTACTCTTCTGGATTAATAGCCACTGGGATGGAGAGAAAGATCTAGGGGATGAGATCATGGGCAAGAGGGGATGAGAGGTACAGCTCTGGAGGCAAAGACATAAGAAAGATGCAGTGGAAAATTCTCATTCCTTCTGATGCCTTACACCTTGAAGTTTCTGTCTTTGCTTTCTAATTTCCTATGTATCTAGCCCAAATCCCTGAGCTTCTCATCTACTTCCCATATCCTAATTTCTGATCATGTATCATGCCTCATGCTTCAGCAAGTTGCTGCAACTGCCTAATATATATAAGTACTAATATCCCTTTTTATCCTAGTGTTAGACCCTTTACCCGTTGCCCCTATAATCTATCTTTGAAGAACAAATTTTATGATATTACCAAACACATTGCCTTATTTCTTAATTGGTCAATAGCCACAATGTTGAACTCTCCTAAGCTATATCCTACTAGTACAGATAACCCTGAGCTTTGTGTAACTAGTTGGATTGTATGCCTGCCCTCACTGTGGCAGAAAAAAACCTTTGCCTTAGTAAGTAGGTCTCCATTTGGCTTGCTTTTCTTCCCTACTGTTTCCATTATGCCAAGGTCATGGATTATTTCACACTGAGACATAATTCTTCCCAAGTCTCAAAGGAAAGATAGATAGGATTTTGAGAGATAAATAAGATATAAAAAAGAGAAGCTGATAGCAAAACACAAAGGGCAAAATGAATTCAAGAAACTCCAAGTTGCCCATTGTGACCATTATAACTAGAATGGTTCATGGAGAGCTTATTTAGCAAAGCAGACATGGATGCAATAGGAACTAAAGTGCTACCTTTGATTAGGTAAGGAGCCTATGCTCACCCCCGATTGACATTCTCTTCTTGCAACTTAGGAATCTTTTCAGTTACAACTGGGCATGTAGCCACCAACCTAGACTCCCTTACAGCTCGTGACTACACTCAGGCCAAACGTGTTATATCTGTAATCAGTGGGGAAAATTCCTTACAAAGAAAGTTGTTTGTCCTTTATCTTTCCTTTTCGTGCTGACAGAAATTGGTGAGCATCGGATCTACTGCCTCGGACCCCAAGGTGGATGGAATTCATGTTGAGAATATCACAATTACACTATCAGTCCTGGATCTTTGAGCTTTTATGTAAGAAAGCAATAAACTTTTATCATATCTAAGCCTCTGTGTAAAAAGAACCCTATTAATAAAGAGCCTTTGAAGTAAATTTTAAGGAAAAGTTAAGATTGCAATGCCAAAAATAATAACACCAATCAAGTAACAACTATCATGAAGCATGTTCAAGCCCAAACCAACACCGATGCCAGGATGAGTCTCATACTTTCTCCTGCTTCAGTACTTTTTCTGGCCAATATCATATTAACATAAATACATCCAGCAGAGACACCTCTTCCTCTTTTTCCCTGAGCTTGATTGGTGGTATCTTTTAGAAAACTAACTGGCTTCAGAACATAATATTTCCTTTTGGTGTCAGCATTCAGCAGCAGGGCAAGCAGACACCCATTTTTTTGATGTGATATTCGGCTCCACGTGAAATACCTCTTTACGTTACCACCAGAGTAGCTCTTAGCCCTTCCCCTAGGCATTTAAATTAAAACATTGGTAATGTTCATATGATCCCTAAAAGAGAGAGAAGACCAGAGTCTTCTAATATAACACTCCACCCAGGCAGATTGCTTCATTAGAAGTTGTCACTTAGAAAATGTCAGAAAAGTGGATACCAAGAAATTCAATTTTCCTAGGAGTTTTAGTAGATGAGGCCTTCTTTCCAGGAAAGGAGGTTGTGTGAAGAGTGCTCTCAGTTCTTGGTCAAAGGCTAGCACTTACAATGGGCAAGGCTCTACGCAAGGGGTAATGTTACCAGGATCGGAAGAGGGGCCTTTACCCAGATAGCACGCATATGGGAGGGGGCTCCACCTGCTCCGCCAATTCCTGGCAGCAGCTCCTGGTGAAAAGTAGTATGTTTGGAGGCCACCATTTACCCAGGAGTGGTGCTGAAACGAGGTGGTGAAGAAATGAGTGATGGAGGGAGAGCTGGAGAGGCCAGGGAGACATTGTGGGCGCTGTTCTCTGTGAATCCATTAGCTCCCCACAAAGCCCGCGCGTTCTGACGACCTTCAAAGCAATTTCTCTGAGTTTCAGTGAACACGGGTATCTAAACAAGGTGTTTTCTAAGCTCAGCTTCAGACAAGCTGCTCCTGCTGCCAGTCTTCAGAGCCCTAGGATTAAGTCTGGGCAATAAGTGCAGCCCCCACAGTGCTGGTCAGGCCACTGCAGATATTGTGAGATGCTCCTTGGAGGTGCCCTGCCTCCCTTCGGGGCAGGGCGAGGTCTGTCCAGGGTCAGCTGACTGCCCAGTGGGGTGGCAGGTCTAAGGAAGTTAGAGGTAAGAGGGTGGATCCAAGCTGGAGTCCTTGAGCGGGAACTGGAGATACAGACACCTGATCCCCAGCTCGACATTCTCGCCTCCGTATACCTCCATGCCTTCATCCAGTAGGCCGATCTCCTGGAAGTACTGCCGGTCCACAATAAAGCAGCTGATGAGGGCAGGGCTCCTGATTGGGGCGGTGGAGTTTTCCAGCTTCCACCAGGCCTTGGGGGGTGGTTTAGGTAGTGGCACCACAGCTCCCAGTCAAAGCCCTGGGGGGCCAGTGGGTACTCTTCTATCTCAAAGTTGTCATATTTGATATTGTCAAAGGATGGTGAGATGATCCATCTCCGGTTTTCCTTTATGCGGGTGAGCACAGATTCAGCCCAGCCCACAGATGAGAACCCTGATCTAGCAAGGTTGAGGGACTTGCCCAAGGTCACAGTAAGTGGTAGAGCTGATGTTCAGCCTCAGTGAGACTGACTCACTAGCCCCAAGTTTAACATACTCACCACACTGCCTCAACATATTATGGCTCATATGAGGAGCTGTGAACAACCTATCGTTGCCTCTCAGGATGGCAGGGCATTGGACATTAATTCTCCATCTGCAAACAGGTGATTTTATATAGCAGAGCAATATGCAGTTTTAGTGGGAGTGCTGCTATTCCTAACCCTGGAAAAGCAATGATCAGAAGGAAATACACGTGTAATATAGCCAAAGTTTGATAGATGTTTCTGAGATTAAAAATTATATGCAGTATCTAAAAATATCTGAGCCTGACCTATCATTTCATTAGTTATAAACCAGGTTGGTATTTCTTAATACAAATCATGCCAAATCCAGTTTGAGGATCATTTCCCTACCCTTTGAAAATACGTTCTTTTAAAGTTTTTAAATAGATATTTCCTACACCTCCTCTAAATATATTATATCACTTTTATTTTTTCCCATTTAGAGATCATTTGAATTTGAAGTATAAAGAAAACCTGGAATGACCTGAGCCCAGGAACAAGTACAGCCTCCTTTGGCAAGTGAGTAGCCTCTGTAATGAGCTGCTTCTTTTCCCAGTTAATAGAAAGGTCATGAACCAGAATCCGGTTCCAGAGGGAGGGCCGCGTGACTGTCAGATAAGAGGAGGAGTTGCTTTGCAGAGCACGCCAGTGACTCAGCTCTGTGAAATTCACCAACAGCCGTCCCCTAGATAAACACAAGTGGCAGAAGGAGAAATTTGTTAAGTCTCTTAATGGAGAAGGAGGAATCTGAGTACTGATTCCTGCCGATCTAGATAAGAATGGGTTGAAGTCTTTGGTTTTTTATGATACGGAGATTAGTACAATTGATGGTCCAGGAGATTTCTGTGAGATAACAAAATTCTTTGGCTTCGCAGGTGCTTCTCAATGTGATTTCTCTCGTCTGAGCTATAGAAATTGGGTTGCACTTTCTTCATGAAACTAAGCACATAATGCCATACTGAGCCTCAAAATATAGTTGTCTGTGTCAATAATTTTTATGTTTTCTATTGAATTCAGTTTCTCAAAGCTTTCGGTGTCATATTTATATTTGTATATCCTTGAGATCAGTGTTTTGCACATAGATGTACATATACTTATTGAATAATGAGGCGGAAGGATTATTCTCTTTCTTTTAGGTATTCTGAAGAAGTTTCCCTTTAGTTGTCAGTGTTATTCTCTTGTTCCCTGACCATAGACTGCCTAGAGAAATTGATTGTATTTGATCATTTATGACATAAAAAACAACAAGATCTATGGTTCACCTTAAAATTTCCACATATCAGGACACTCATAAACTATGAAATGAAGGTTACATTAATAAGCGTAACTTAATGGTAACTGTATATTATATTTAAAACCCCATTTGGATTTCTGTGATATGAGCTTCAGAGCATTGATCCTCGAGTATACCTCTCTAAACATATAAACTCTCTGCTTCCATTAGAAATATATTTATGTCCTGGTTTATGTTCCACAGTACAAGAAGATACTAGTTACCATCTAGATTTATCTTTATGTTATTCGGGGAAATTTATAAAAGCAGATCTAGCTTGAATGCAAGATATACTACTAAGAATTATTTTAGTTTTGGTTAGTAGATTGCATAAATATTAAAATCATAACTCTTACTGCAGAATAAAATATAAAATATTTACCCATCTACTCACTTAAGTGTTTCCTACCTGCTCAACATGGGGTAGGGGCAGAAGTGTGGAGATCATGGACTGTGGGGACGGGGACACAGACATGAATGAGGTGCTCTATATCATCTTAAGGAATTTACAAAAAGATGAACATTATCCACTGCACATATATCCCTGTCACTTAAATCCTTAAGTTATGTAATCATTCTCTAATGATTTAAGCTCTGATTTACTGGTAAAAGAAAGTTCTTTCATCTATTATTATAACTTACCTTCTAAGTAATGTTGACCTAAAACTTGTGTTTGTTATTCTCTAAGGCTTAAGTTCCTTTATTATGTCCAATCTTCCATTTCTAAGCTTGTGTCTAAGTAAGGAAAATGCTTTAGGAACCAAATGCTGCTTTTACTTCAAGGAACCTTTAAGAGATCAAAAATATAAGGCAAAATAGTTCACAGAGAAGTACTAATTAGTGCTAACTCACTTTTATTGCCTCCTCTTCAAAGCTATTTAAAAGAGCCATCAACTAAATCTGTGAGCATCCCCACTTACAAGTAATGGAGGTGGCGGGCTCTCTGCTGCCCCCAAAGGCTGTAACAGGCCTGATGTGTTTGCATGGGGAGCATGTGAGCCTTTTAGTAGGCGGGAAACACATTATAGCTCCGTAGTGTTATCATAGGCTGCTTCTAAAATGGTTCCCAGTCTCCTAGAACTCACACACTCTTGGGAAATCCCCTCCTCTAGTGGCTTCCTTCTAGAAAAGAGAACACAGTACAAGTCATGTCATTTCCAAGATTGGGTTATAAAAATGGCGGTGGTACTCCTTCTCTTGATTTCTCACTTGCATACTCCGATGAATCCAGGTGCCAGATTCGGGTTATCCTATGAAGAGGCCCAAATAATAAGGAACTGAGGGAACCCTCAAGCCCTCAGTCAGTGTGTCATCCTGTAGGGAACTGAGTCCTACCCACAACCGGGTGTGTGAGCCTGGGAGCAGATCCTGTCGCAGCTGAACCTTGAGATGACTGCCACCTTGGACAACATCATGGCTGCTGCCTGTCAGAGGACCAAGCTCAGCTGCACCAGATCCCTCACTCAGAGGAACTGTGAGCCAGTAAATGTAAGTTATTTTAAACTACTGCATTTCACGGCAATTTATTACACGGCGAGAGATGACCAATTCAAATTCCTATTTCCTAGGGTTGAAAGTAAAGATTTTAGCTGTGAAATACGATGATGGAGGGAAATGGAAAAGACAAAGACACTTAGGATGGCTGAATCGAAGGAGCACAGATTAGACTCATGACCATAGGCACTTTTTTTCTCAGTCAAGATTTTAAGAGTCAGGTGAAATAAATGAGTACAACAAAACTAAGAGCTTTGTAACAGTTCAGTCAGAACAACTCTCAAGACACAGTTAAGCATAGTGTTCCCACTTTTTAAATTTATCCTTTTCTTTTTTATTTACCCTTAAATATTGTGCATCAACGTATGTATGAACATGATCAATTCCAATGGCAATTACAGTTAACTTTTAAGATACTCAAATGATTCATCAAATTAGAAACATGCGGATACATACACATATGTTATCTTGGTGACTCCCTAGGTAGGTGAACCATGGAAAATTATTTACCCCACCCTAACTCTGTTTCTGTATGTCCAAATGTTCTAGCTACCACCTAGGACTGTGGAAATGAGAAAACAGATGCAAACCACCCAATACGGTACTTGCCATGTGGAAATTGGCTCCTATCTGTATGGTCTAATTTCCCTCTTACATCATATAGATAGAGTATGAGTCTCATTCACTGATTATGGCCACTCAGCGTTTAACTTGAATAATGAATGTCCAAGTGTTCACAGGAGTTTTGAGAAAGGCTGTGAGGAGGCTGGTGTATCTGAGCATTAAGGCTTTACCGTTTCTATTTTGTCGAGACAGATTTTCTAATCACAGACAGAAGGTTCCTTATTTGCTTCCAAGTGTGGAATTTGGAGTTCACATTTCAGAAAAGAAATCCATTTTAACACCCACTCTTCAACACATATATAGATCTAAGTCTGTGACATGCTGTCTTAGCTGAGCTTGAATTTCCTGTTTGGGGCTGCCTGAAACAGGATTGCTACTTGCAAATAACCACAGAGCCTCTTTCTTTCTCTCTTTCTTTCCTTCTTTTCTTTCTTTCCGTTTTCTCTCTTTCTTCCTCTCTGTGTCCTCCCCTTCTTCCTTCTCTCTCCTTCCCCATTTATTCCTCTCTTTCTCCTTTCTTCTCTCCTTCCTGCCTTCCTTCTCTCCCTCTTTTCCCCCATTCCCATGTCTGAGATAGCAGCTGATCAAGTATTTTTACTTTTTCCCACATGGATTGGATTTTTTTTTCTCATCTGGCATCTAAATTAATCTTTCAGAATAATCATGTTGTGTTTGAAGAAGCCAACTGCCAGCAATTCAAGTAAGAGAGGACAAAGTCATTAGCTAATGAAAAATACATCTTCCTGAAAAATGGCCATCCTAGGATTACTAATTAGCCAGTACCTATAATATGTAACAGCTGAAAAGCAATGAAAACCAACAGTGTAATTTAAGTAGAAAGGGAATTTATTAGAAGGATGTGAAGGCACTCAAGACTGAAGAGAGAACTGGGGCACTTGGGTGGCTCAGTTCGTTGAGCGTCTGCCTTCGGCTCAGGTCAAGATCCCGGGGTCCTGGGATCCAGCCCCACATCGGGCTCCCTGCTCCACAGGAAGCCTGCTTCTCCCTCTCCCACTCCCCCTGCTTGTGTTCCCTCTCTCGCTGTGTCTCTCTCTGTCAAATGAATTAATAAAATCTTAAAAAAAAAGAAAAGAAAAAGACTGAAGGAAGAACTGAAAACCAAGCTTGAAAGAACTTTTCACCTAGAGGGGCTGGGTCTCCATAGTAAAGACCACCAGGCAGTCTTCTTCAGGGACCATTGCTGAAATGAATGAATAAATAAATGAACACAGCTGTAGTTTTTTGTTTTCCTCTCCATTTGTGACATTCAAATTTCTTTTTTTTTTTAAAGATTTTATTTATTTATTTGAGAGAGAGAATGAGAGACAGAGAGCATGAGAGGGAGGAGGGTCAGAGGGAGAAGCAGACTCCCTGCCGAGCAGGGAGCCCGATGCGGGACTCGATCCCGGGACTCTGGGATCATGACCTGAGCCGAAGGCAGTCGCTTAACCGACTGAGCCACCCAGGCGCCCGACATTCAAATTTCTTAAATTTCAAAGTTCTGAGAGGGAGTTTGATTAGGAGAGCATAGGTCTGCTGGGCAAACCTCTGTTTTTATCAGAGAAGCAAAAAAATAAATCATTGTGAAAGAGACTCCTGGTACCTTGTAAGCTTCTGAGAAGTTGGGCTGAGCATTCTACCTTAATTGACTTGCCTTCCGAGGCTGCACATGCTTTGGAAGACATAATTTCTCAAGAAAATCTCAGGCACTAGTGGGAAGTGGAAATGGATGCTGGGCAGCTTAAAATGACAAATATCAACCACATGTAATTTTTATGCATTGATTTGACAGAAAGAAACCCATTTGGGCTATATGTGAGATCCAGGCTCTGACCTTCTGGGCTGTCATCCTCAGGCCAGGTGAAAAGAAGTATTTCATCATCTCGCAGAACACAGGCTCTAGAGTCGGACTGAATGGACTCAAATCCCAGCTCTGTAACTTCATAATGAGAACACTGTGACAAATTGCCTGTCCTTGCTTATATCTCCATTTCCTTATCTGTAAAAGGAAATAGTAAGCATACCTGCCTCAACGGGATGCTGTAATGATTACTTGTGGTCGTTATATGCACAGCGTTTAGTATACCCTCAATTACGTTCGTTGTAAAGTGACAGAGTGTAGGGTTAAACATGTGGAGTCATGAGACCCAGGAGGAAGTTCAGTTGTCTGCCTGGTGGTCATCCACTGGGTTGTAATTCGGTGAGCCAAACACACAAGTAATCAAACTGCAGATTGAGGCAGTTAACGAAGCTCAGGTGCCATCAATCATGGATGCCAGGGCCAACAGCTGTGAGCATGACACCAGGTGAAAATGAGAATCAGGACGCATAAAGTGAAGGACAAGGCAAACCAGTGGACCCCAAGGCCATGGCAGATAGGAACCGAGAGGTTTACAGAAACACTGAGGAAAGCAAGGCACATACAGCAGGTGCATGGAACCAGCATCAAGGAAACTTCTGAGCAGTTTTCCTATCACTGTCAAAAGCTTCTCATAATTGCACTATCTTTATGAGCATTATTTTATGAGCATTACTTTAAATTAGCTATCAGACATATTATCTCCGTTTTGTTTCGGTCTCTTGCTATGATTTTGTTCCACTGCACTATCAATGCTAACTAAACCTAGGTTTTAGGGAAGAGACAGTGGGCTGTGCTACCTGCAGAAAAGGGGACATGATTACATCTAGAAATAGGGATTGTGAGGATTAGAATAGAGGCAACAAATGATACCTTAGCATGTGGTATCCATACCTGCTGATTAAATAATAAAGATCCCAGTAATGAATAGTAGTAGTAGTAGTAGTAATGATAGGTAACATTTACCTAGCATTTGCTATGTGCCTAGCACTCTACAAAGGGCTTTACATGCATTATATCATGTAATTCTCCCAATAAATCTTTGAGATAATTGCTAGAAAATAAAATCCTGACAGGCACCGAATTTGTTGTCTTCACCACTCTGTGCAAAATATTTAGAAGAGGACCTGGTACTTAAGAGGTATTTCCGAAGTGTTGTATGGTCTCCAATTAAAGAACATGAGGTATCGATTGTCAAAATAACTTGCTCAAGTCACATAATGTCAAATTGTGGAGCTGGGATTCAAAGTCAGGGAGCTTGATTCCAGAGCCCACAATCAAATTCTACAGTTTTTACCCAACACCACCTTGTTTCCAAAGCATCACCCACAGCCAGTTTCCTACTGATTACCTCCTCCTTGCTGCACTTCCTTCTGTCCATCAGAGTGAAATAGAGTGTTAGGAAAAGGAAAAAAGAAATCATCAATAATAAGCTTGTTATAAAACAGGATAATGAAGACATAGTACTCGCAGCCCCAAATCAAAGTTTTTGGTATTATGCGAACATGGGCACTTGAACCAATTATATACAAGGCATTGAACTAATTGGATAATAAAAATATGATCAAGACAGGTCTCTAAACTTGAAGGATCCATGTTCTAGTGAGAAAGGGGTTTAAACACACAAATAAATAATCTAGTAAATGCAGAAATGGAGGTTTTGTTTTGTTTTGTTGTTGTTGTTTTTAAAGCCTAGCAGATTCCAACAGCAGTGAAATGCATTGTGTCTGAGCCTAGCAGGCATGCACAGAAGTAATGGGAGGGAGAAAAGAAAGGTAGTTTATAAGACACAAGAACTCGGAAGGGTCTTAAACATGATGCCTAGGACATTATACTTCATTTTGTCAAAAGTAGGAAGACAGCAGGATTAATGTGTTAAGTAATAACACACCACTGGTTTGATCAGAGTGAAGGAAGATGGGTAATAGGAGGACAAGCAATAATGGAGGGCAGATATGATTAGGGCCTGAAATATGGTGGTGGTGGAGCAAATGCAGAATCACAGGATTTAGCGGCTGACTGAATTTCATCATGAAGGACAGCGAAATTCACACATGACTCTCAAGTTTCTCACTGAAGTAAGTGGGAGGATGATAACACTATTAATCCCAGGAAGAGAAATAAATAGGAAAAATACTTGTCTAAAGTAAGGAGAAAAACCTATTGCGGACACCTACACCATCTGAAGGATTTGCAAAAAGTGAAGAAGGAACTAAAGCACGTAAAAGGATGCAAAATTCCGTATTTGTGTTGCATAGTCTTACACGTGGGAATTAATTCTGTTACTTGAGCTCTTATTTGCTTGTTTTGTTTTTTAGTTAGACAGTAGTTTAGACAGTAGTTGCTGTCTTCTAAAACTTAGCTCCAGGGCTATAACTGAATGTAATACAGTTTACTTGGATGGGCTTTAACATAAAATCTTTCTTCCTCAGGCTGCTCTTTTTACACTCCGGAACTAATTGGAGCTCTGTTCATAATTTACCAGACACAGTTTGGGTTTACAGTA